GAACGGATGATGTGAGAATGAGTAAAACGAAGGAGGAAAGATTGAGTATCAAAAGCGACCTCTTTCTCCACTTCGTTGAAACTGCACTCAGCATCTGAGTCTTCCAGCTCTTGACGAATTAACTCCTCCTCCTCGTCATCAATGTTCCGTGCCTCTTCTTCAATCGCCACTTTGGTGATCTCTAGTTCTTCGGCTTTGATAAACGTGAAAAAAACTCTTAGTCAGAGTGAGTCAAAACTTTTCCATAACCTAAGGTACTAAACCAATTACTTAAAAAACGCAGATCGGCTTCAAGGATAAGGCAAACATGGCAACCAATGCAGGACAACAATAGGGGTTGGTCTATAGGTTGTTTTTGTGAAAGTTAGAGAGAAGTAGAGGAACCTCAGACTGGTCACTTGAGCTATTATCTGCATTCAAGAGTTTAACAACATACCTGTCAAATCGAGGAAAAATATTTTTCGCAAAGCCAAGTACTCCAAAACTTGTAAATGTTCCAATCCCGCCTCAATGGCACGCGCCTTCTCTTTGGTCAAATCGTCTTCCTCCTCCCTTTCGTCCTCGTCCACTACGTCATTGCTTGGTGATGCTTCCGGCCAAATATCCCACATGGCCCGGGCGATAGCGAGAGCACGCTCGGCTTGTTTGTCATGGAGATTAGTATAAACCAAACAAATGGCATTTCGCAGTTGAGCGGCCATCGATTCACCGTCCGCAGAAACAGCAGCTGGGTCAAACAATTGGGGAATCTCATCAGGAGCCACATTTTTAGAGGTGCTACCAAAGGCCAAGAGAAGATTAGACGAGAGAGAAGCCCAGGTACGTGTCAAAAAAGCACGACGTTCTTCAGGAGTTGCATTTGTGCGTTTTAAAAGCCGTTTTCGAGCTTCCGACAGCTCCTTTCGACGCTCCCGATGAGCCGCATGCTTTAAATGCCTTTTCTCACTGCGGTGACGGCGCTTTTGACGACGCGATACAATAAGGGTCACCGCAGATTTCGCTTGGGCTACTAGAAGATTGATAAAGAGGTGGGCGCCCTCAACGAGTTCAACTAAATATTCTCTGAAAAGGAGTGTATAGAAAAAGAATGCATTACAATAGCTTAGTAGAGAATGCAAACCTGCTATTGAGACGTATTTTAAAGTAGAATTGAAGCATCACCCGTTTCCTTACCAAAAAAATTCTCAAGCATTGGTAAATACAACTGCATGGTAAGTGGGCTTCAGCGTATTAACTTAATACTATTAAACGAAAAATAAGTAAATGCAATATGGTCCAAATTGGATGAGAATAATGTACTGAACAGTTCGGCCGATGTAGTGTGGCAGCTTAGCTGCCACTATTCAACGGAGAGAAAGCAGAAAGTTCACTTACTTCGACTGAATTGATTCATTATACTCCTTTAATAAGAAAAC